TTTTAGGTTGTTTGCGTAATTTCATTCACTGTTTATTTATTTTATTGGAATAGTTTCATTTGTGTTTGTTTTGTTTTGCAAGAAATTGCAATTGGGAAAACGCTTCAGCGTGTCATGAGCATTGAAGTCCTGCAAGTCCCGATTGTGATATTCTCAACCTTTGATTTTCTTTTATTCTAGGATAATTTTTGTCCTTAGTATTAATCTTTAGGTTGCTTGATAAATTTAGTTTTGATAAAAATTCTGTTGTTGTGAAATTTCATTGAGTATAGTTTCGTTAGATTTTAGATTGTTTTGTTGTTGTTCGTGTGCTAGTAAAATGTTTCTTAGGTTTTGCATTTAGTTAATTTTCTTTGACCTTGTGATGCGTGCTTGTTGAGCCTTTTGTGTGTTTGGTTGGTGAATGCAACTAGAGGGTCTTTAACGAAGAGTTATTAACTTTGAATCTTGAAATTGAACGCACTTGTAAGAAGAATAGAAAACAAGCACGTAGGATGGCTGACCAGTGAACCCCACATGTGCCCCTTAGCCAACATTTCGCACCCAACTCACACTTCAGCCTCATGTACCATATCCCCAATGTCCAGACAACACTAGAGATCAAAACTAGTGTCATCCAATTGTTGCCAAATTATTATGGGAATTTAAATGAGGAGCCATACAAACACTTAGAGAATTTTTAGAGGTTTGTCCACCGTTAGACTCAACCTGTGAATGAAGATGTCGTGCGCTTTTTTGTTCCCATTTTCACTTAAGGATTGAGCCAAACAGTGGCTCAATTCTCTGGCAGCAGGGTCCATTATCTCTTGGACCAAATGCAAGAAGGATTCCTAAAAAAGTATTATCCCGTTGGTAAAACCAAACGCATACGACGAGCCATTACTAGTTTCGCTCAACTTGATGGCGAGGAATTTTATGAGAGTTGGGAACGTTTGAAGGAAATGCTTAGGAGTGTCCCCATCATGCAGTCCCTAGGTGGCAATTAGTTCGTAGTTTCTATGACAGAATGACGAGAGGCATAGGATATGGTAGACGCCTCTTGTGGAGGAACATTTATGCACAAGGACGAGAATGAGTTATGGCAACTCTTCGAGACTTAAGTGAAAATTCAATGCACCATTTCTGCGGCTAGAATGCATTCTTAGGGCAGCCATCCAAGAAGGGTGGCGTGTATGAGTGGTCACGGTTAGATGACATTAGTTCCAAGGTACAGTTGTGGCCCACCGATTTGACCAGTTTGTTATCTATACAAGAGCAACCCTCTACACATCATCTCAGAAGGCGAACTAGGATGTTTTTGCCATGCACTTACTCTTGACCATCCGGTTGAGGAACCTGCCCTGACTCTTTTGAGGAGCAAGTGCAAGTTGCACAAGGCTTCCAGGACGAAGCGATCCGTACTCGAACACATACAATCCGGGTGGCGTAACCACCCTAATTTTTCATGGAAGCCACAACCACCTCAGAATGTCCCTAAAATGCATACAGAAGAACATCCTTCCAATCAGCAAGGCATTATAGGGAGCAACCTTCAATCCAACCACCCATCCAACCTAGGTTCCCACCTCCGTTCAGCAGCCTACTCTAGTGTCTAGTTCACTAGAATCAATGATGGCTCAAATGCTTCAACCAATCAGGAACAAAAAGCCGACATGAATGCTAGGTTCCAAGATTTAGAGCAAAATACCCAACTTCTACATTCCCATTCCCAATCCATTAGTAAGCTAGAGACCCAGATTGGTCAAATAGCGAAGCAGTCATAGGAGGGAACAAGGCCCATTGCCTAGTCAAGTCATTGGTAACTCTAGTGGTTCTTCTTAGCAAAGAGGGTTGTTTTTCGAACAAACTAAGGCCGTGGGACTCTTCGGAGCGGCCGAGAGCTATGGCCGAGAGGGAAGTAAAGTCCAGGGGGGAGAAGAGGAAAGTCTAGGTAGAGAACAAGCCAAAGAGAGTGAGAGTGACCTCTTGTTGAGTTAAGTGTTCAGAGACCGGGTAAGGAAAAAGTTGGGGAGAATGAACCATCCTCTGATCGTACATACCGAGAGCACACCTTTCCTAATGCTTAGAGCCCCAAATGTTTCCACTACTAAGAAAAGCGCTAGGATGGATGAAATGATTGAGTTGTTTAAGCAGGTGCAGATTAACATTCTACTCTTAGATGCCATTAGCAAGTACCGCTTATGCCAAATTCTCAAAGACTTGTGCACGAAAAGAGGAAAATGAAATCTCACACACCTAAGACTGTACATTTACCGGAAAATGTAAGTGCGGTTGTCTAAACCGCATTCCCCGAAGTTAAGGATCTTGGAGCTCCTATTATTCTTGTGTGATAGGTAATGTCATGATTGATAGAGCACTCTTAGACTTAGGGGCGAGCTGAACTTATTACCCACTTCCGTGTATGAACAGTTTAACTTAGGTGAGCTCAAGTCGACTGAAGTCATACTACAGTTAGCTGAGATCGATCAAAATGCCTAGGGGCCTAATTGAGGACGTGTTAGTTAAGGTTAAGGAACTATATTTTCGGTGGATTTTCTGTCTTAGACATGGAGTATACGAGCAGTGGAAGTATGCCCCGATTATTTTAGGGAGACCTTTTCTAGCAACGGCAATGCTGCATTACTGTAGTCTGGAGAGATGGAAGTGTCTTTTGGGAATAGGAAATGAGACTTATGTGTTTAATGCTGGGTTAGGACCATGGTGAGGACGAAACGAGCGTTTCATGGTTGATGCTATTGACAGCTAGTGGAGGCTCACGCCTCACAGATGTATTGTGATGATGCAATTTACACTTTATGAATCCATTTGTTGAGGAGATATCTAGCTTGAGTGTCATGTCTGAGATTCAGGAGGTTAGTGCGTATATAGCTAGGTTGCCCACTCAGAGGCGTGCCCTTGGAATCAAGTATGAAACCTTACCACCTTGTCCAAGACGACAAAACGAGGTCAATTGAGTCTACCAGTCTTAGAGTTGAAAGCCTTGCCTGATACTCTAAGGCATGTTTTCCTAGGACCCACAAGACCTTACCCGTTATCATTGCCGCCACATTAGATAGTGAGCAAGAGGAGAGATTAGTGGTAGTCTGACAGCATATAAGGAAGCAATCGGTTGGTCGGTAGCCGATTTGCGAGGGATTAGCCCTTCTTTGTGCATGCATCGCATATTTTGTGAGGAGAATGCTAAACGGTGCATGAAGCCCAAAGAAGGTTACACCGAACATGAAGGAGGTGGTGAAGAAAGAGGTGATCAAATGGCTTGATGCGAGTAATTTACCCTATATCCGACAGCCAATGGGTGAGTCCAACCCATGTTGTACCTAAGAAGAGTGGTCTCACCATTGTTGAAAATGAAAAAGTGTGAGCGAATTCCTACGTACTCCCACAGGATGGAGAGTTTGCATTGACTAAGGAAGCTCAACCTAGCCACTAGGAAAAAATCATTTCCGCTCCATTTATTGAACAAATCCTAGAAAAACTGCAGGGCAAGCTTTCTATTATTTCTGGATGGCTATCCGGTATAACCAAGTACCAGTGCCCCGAAGACCAGGAAAAGACCACGTTCACATGTCCTTTTGGCACGTTTGTCTTTCGTCGCATGCCCTTCGGGTTGTGCAATGCATCGGCAACGTTTCAAAGGTGGCATGTTATCGATATTTTCTGACATGGTGGGTCAATCCTTGAATCTTCATGGATGATTTTTCTGTGTTTGGTACATCTTTTGATGATTGTCTCGAAAAACTTGAGTTGGTGTGTTAAAACGTTGCAAAGAGACAAATCTTGTTCTTAGTTGGGAAAATAGCATTTCATGGTTCAAGAGGGAATATTCTTAGGTCATGTAGTTTCCAGGAGGGGATATCAGGGGATAAGGCAAAGGTAGAGTAGATTTCTCAAACTACCACCGCCTTCGTCGGTCAAACAAATTAGATCTTTCCTAGGCCATGCAGGATTTTATAGGCGTTTCATCCAGAATTTTAGCAAGATCTCCAAGCCTTTGTGTGATTTGCTTGCTAAAGATGGCCATGTGTTTGATGACTTGTATGATTGCTTTACCATTTTGAAGGAAGCGTTGACCACAGACCCATCATGCAACCTCTGATTGGAACCTACCTTTTGAAGTGAGTGTGACGCGTGGACTATGCCATTGGTGCAGTCCTTGGCCAGGGGGAATAAAAAGCCCGTTGTGATCTACTATGCAGCAAGACCTCTCCGATGCTCAATGTAATTACACCACCACGGAGAAAGAGTTGCTTGTAGTAGGTGTTTCCCTTGATAAGTCAGTCTTATCTTCTTGGGTCTAGGATAGTTGTCTTTACAGACCATGTTGCAGTTAGGTATTTGTTAGCCAAGAAAGACACTAAGCCTAGACTAATTCGATGGATTTTTTTGTTGTAAGAGTTTGATCAAGAAATCAAAGATAAAAAGGGTAGTGATAATGTGGTGCGGACCACTTATCTAGACTCTTTACAGAGTATGTCCCTGGTCATTGTTTGAATGAATCTTTCGGATGAGCAACTTTTGCGATATCCCAATCCAAAGCACCTTGGTATGCCCATATAGTCAATTACTTGGCCGTAGGACAATTACCCATAGGGTGGACCAAAACTCAGAAAGATCATCTTTGCAACATCAAGCATTATTTTTGGAAGACCCGGACCTTTCAGGGTGTGTGCAAAACAGATAGTTAGGAGATGTGTTCGACCACAAGTTTAGTAGTTACTTGCATTTTCATTCTTGTATGCTTGTGGTGGTCATTATAGTGGCAAGAGGACCGCTTAAAGGTCCTCTAGTGTGGTTTCTATTGGCCCTCTCTCTTTCGTGATGCATTCTTTTATTGTGTGCTTGTACTTCATGTCAAAAAGTAAGGAATATTGGTAGACGAGATATGATGCCCGAATCCTATTTGATTGTGGAAATGTTTGATGTGTGGGGTATTGATTTCATGGGCCTATTTCCCTCATCTTTTGGCTTTGAATATACTGCTTGCAGTTGTATGTGTCTAAATGGGTAGAAGCCATGCTACTAGGACCAATGATCATAAGGTGGTGTCAACTTTGTTCAATCGCACATCTTTAGCCATTTCAGTCATCCGCGCGCCATCATCAGTGATGGTGGCTCACATTTCACCAATAGACACTTTGGCTCACTATGAAAAAGTACTCAATCACCCCTCAAGTTGTCACACTTATCACCCTCAAACTAGTGGACAAGTGGAAGTGCTAATAGGAAAATTAAGACTATCTTAGAGAAAATGGTACGGCCCGATCGTAGGATTGGTCAATGCGTCTGAATGATGCACTTTGGGCCTATCGAACGCCATATCGTACCCTATTGGCATGTCCCCTATCGGTTAGTTTTTGAGAAAGCATGCCATTTCCTATAGAACTTGAACATAGAGCACATTGGGCCACAAGGAAATTCAATTTTGATATGACCACGGCCGGTGACAATAGGAAACTCCAACTTTTGGAGTTAGATGAGCTAAGACCGAATTTAGAGAACTCTCGCATCTCTAAGAGAAAACTAAAGCTTTCACGATAAACACATTGGTAGGAGTCATTCTCTCCTAATCAAAAAGTGTGGCTTTTAACTCTAAGCTTCGCCTATTTCCGGGGAAGCTTCGGTCCGAGGGATGACCCTTTATTGTTCTTAATGTTTTCCCTCACGGAGCTGTTGAAATCCGAAACCCAAAAAGGGAAAGTTTTAAGGTGAATGGCCAAGACTTAAACCTTATGTCGATGGCATTATTGATGGAGAGGTGATTGAGGAATGTTTTTATTAGAAACCACATTAGCCATGTCAGTGCACTGAGTCTAGTGAAGACTTTAAACTTAGGCTGTGGGAGGGAACCCACCTTTGTAAATATGTTTTTTTTGCTTTTATGTTTTTGTTGTTTTGTCTTCGCAGGATTGCCATGTTTGGAAACTCATTAACTAGTCCAAGGTACCGCTTATGCATGCACAAACTCTGTTGATGACAGCCCCACATTGTTCCTCAGGTTGTATCTCTCCACCTTACATGCTATTATTGTTGATTTCTTGTTTCTCAAATATGTGGAGGATTTAATGTTATTGTCATATTGCCATTTGAGATCATTTGATGCTAAGTTGGGGAGGATATTTGTAGTTATGGGTCACTGAGGACAAGACATTTTAAGTTGGGGAGTGTTGATTTGATTTTTTTATCTTTGTGAAGTATGTGATGAGACTTTTGTGGAGATTGTGATATTTTTGTGAAGTGTTGTTGATGATGCTTTTGTGGAGATTGTGCTTAAATTTTTGTGGCATGATGATGTGTTTTTTGAAAATATGTTGAATCTTAGCTTGTAAGTCCAAAAGTGGTTAAAGTGAACTAAAGTGAGTATTTTTAAAATTTTCATGAATTCATGCATAATTACCATTTTAGAAGCAATTAAAGTGCTAGTCGAAAGGTTTTGTGAGGTTTTTGAAAATTTTTTGTGCAACATGGTTTTAAACATTGACTATTGGTTCTGTTTTGTGCTAGGTTTGTCCATAATTGTGGTTAGACACTGTTTTGTGTAAATGTCTGTGTGTGTTTATGCAAGTCTCCCACATACTTTACATGCATGGAGCAAATTTTCATTTATATCTTGCGTGTGTTAAAGTGCTTAAATTTTGCTTGATGATTTGGTTTTGATTTGTAGCCTAGTTGACTCGAGTGAGTACGCTGGAGGGGTGTTCTACACCTAATCCCCTAAAGCATACTAGCTTGGGAGCGGTTGGCCTAAAGCTCGTTACATGGGTCCTTCGAAAGCTTAATAAGTCATTATATAAATCATGAGTTTTATAAGAAATAAAGAAATAAAGTCTTGACTTGTAGCCTAGTTGGTTCGGGTGAGTAAGTTCGAGGAGTATTCTAACTTAGTGCCCTATAGCCATCTGGTTTGGGAGTATTGACCTAAAGCCCGTCACATGGACTTCTTGTGTGGAAAATGAGCATTATGTTGCGTGTACATAAGTTGGGAGTTTTGCATGACATTTACATTGTGATATGAATATGAAATGTGTGTTTGAAAGCTTGAATGGAGATAGGCAAATTCTTTGAAGAAACTTTAGTTCTTTATTTAGGATTGTGTTATTTACTTGTTATGTTCAAATTCTTCACTTTACCTTTTGATGAATGTCTTGGTTGTTGATTAATATGGTTGTGTATGATTTTGTGAGAATGTTGAAAGAGTTCCTTTAACTTTACTCGAGGACGAGCAAAGAGTAAGTTGGGGAGTGTGTTAGAGTCATGAAAGTGACTCTATTTTGGTGATAAAAATACCCCATGTGGTTTATGGATTAAGGGTATTTTTGTCTCATTTATGCTGTTTAGGGGGTAAAATGTCATGTTTTAAGGGGCTGATTTTGTCACTTTTCAATTGTATAGGGACCAAACTGATATTTTACAATTTGTTCTATAAAAGAAAAATGCAGTTTCGCGTGAACAAGGGGGCTGTTCATCCATCATTTTTCGGCGACCCTTCACCTTCTCCGATCAAGCTCCGGCGACCCTTCATCTCCTTTTCCAGCGAAGTTTCGGCTTCCCCTTGCTCCAATCACCATCATCCCTTCATCACCACCGTGAACCAAGCGCACTACCACGGCGTTTCATCTTCCCACCGAGTCGTTTCGTCTTCTCGGCCAGTTTTGGCTATTTTTCGGCGACGTTCCAGCTCCCCAAGGGTCGATCTCCCTTCCCCACAGCCGGATCTACACTTCCCTAGCTTCAGCCGCCGCGAAAACCATCGGAATCCGCGATTTTGCCGCCGCGCCTCTTCATCTTCCAGGCCAGATTCTGCTCATTTCCGGCGACTTCTCACCTCCCCAGGACCTGATCTGAACTCCCCATCACCAGAGCTTTCCATCGGTACCTTCGGATCCCATTTTCGCCACCGTTTTTCGGAGACCCGCCGAAAAATTAACGTTTTCTAGCGAAGTGCGGCTGTTCATATTCCAGGCTGTCCATTGGTCATTTTTGCCCCTTCTTCGCATCATATCGCTGTCTGTTACCTCCTCTCCGCCATGGCCAGCTGCGTTTCCACCGTTTTGGCCTCTGTCATCACCACCATGAGCGGCTAAGCTCCCGGTTGTCTGTTACGGCATAGGCGAGATCGGGATTGACTCCACGACTCTCCTCATCAGCTCTCAACTAGTTGGATGAGCTTGATTATAGGACATTTGGTAGTATTGTGCTTCGGATTATATTTGTTTTCGTTTCATGATTGATTTCAATACTTTAATATGATTTGAGCATAACTTGTGATGAATATTGTTGTCCATTATGATTTAATGTTTTCATAGAACTTGTTGAATGATAAACGTTGGTTTGGAATAATTAAATGATGAATATTGCTTTCATTATTTCGCATCGATTGTAATTGAGTTGTGTTCGGATTTAATTTAATTTCTACTATTGTTGCGTTTATTGTGAAGTTGGTTGATTGGATATTACGTGTTGACAAATTGTATTTGTTAATCACGTACCAACTAGTGGTATTGCCTTGTAGCGTTTATCGACGTTCAATGATAGTCTTTAACCAATCGAACTTGAGTGATCGGGTGAGACAGGATAGATTATACCTTGAGTGTCGGGAAACCATTTCATTGATTTACCTTGCCTTGTAGGTTTAGGGGATCGTAGAGGGTGGAGGAGAATTGTGTGAGTCGGTCTCGTGTCGAACCAAAACCGTAATGGCAACATTTTTATTATAAAGTCTTTATTTGTTTTAATTTCACTATTTCATTATTTACATTTAGTCTATTTAGTTTCATTAATCCATTACCAATTTCATTTCCGTTACTTAAAATACATTAGGTTGTTAGTCTTGCTCCCTGTGGATTCGATCCTGCTTATCGCTACTACGGTAATTAGGTTTAATTTTTAGACCGTGACGATCTGTCTAACACACATGGAAGGGTATCGTCCATTCATCTTTTTGAAATGAGATAAAGTTGGTGTGAATATCTTTGAGGAGATATGGGCTTGGCAGCACATTTATTAGGTTGACATAAGCGTGACTTTTGAGGCATAACAAAATTTATGTTGTTTTGGTTTTAGGAAATTGAATCAAATGATAAACTCGCTGAAGAGCTAAAGCAACAGGTGAAAGAAATGTTAATGGCCTCAACGAGTGATCCACTAGAGAAAGTTTCTTTGATTAACTCTATACGTCGTCTTGGTGTGTCATATCACTTTGAGACAGAAATTGAAGAACAACTAACTCAAATTTTTGAAGCACAACCTAACCTTGGGGATGATAATGATTATGATCTCTACACTATTGCTCTTTTATTTCGAGTTTTTAGACAATATGGTTTCAAGATTTCTTGCGGTATGTACCTCTTAATTTGTATCAACGCATGAACATCGTATATATGTGAATTATAGAAATATATCTTAGCTGATAAAAACTGATTAACAAATTACAATGGATTGCTAATCAGCCGTGTTCAACAAGTTGAAGAATAGTGATGGTATGTTCAAGGAAAGTTTAACCAACGATGTAAGAGGCATGCTGAGTTTATATGAAGCGACACATTTGATACTACATGGGGAAGAAATTCTTGAGGAGGCCCTTGTTTTCACAACCTCTCATCTCAAGTCCTTTGCCAAAAAATCAAGTCCTCATTTAGCAAAACATATAATGAATGCCCTTGATTTGCCCTTGCACCAAGGTATTCCAAGATTGGAAGCACGCCAGTACATCTCTTTCTATGAAGAAGACCATGAATTTAGAAATGAAACTCTACTCATGTTTGCAAAGTTAGATTTCAATAGGGTAATTGCTACACAAACAAGAGATGAAATATCTTACAAGGTAAATATTATATCTCTCACTTTAGTTATTTTTTTTTCTGAAGAAGTTCTGAACATGATGAATAAACTTTTTTACAATCTTATTGCAGATGGTGGAAGGATTGTGACTTGGCATCAAAGTATCCTTACTCAAGAGACAGAATTGTGGATATCTACTTTTTGTCGATAGCAGATTATTTTGAGCCTTGTTTCTCGATGGCCCGGATAATATATACTAAAATTATAATGATTCTTACAGTTATAGATGATACATATGACACATATGGTACAGTTGAAGAGCTCCAAAGTTTCACAGATGACCTAGAAAGGTTTTTATTAGTTTCTTATTAGTCTTAACAAATCTAATCTTACACATTTTATAGGAGCTTATAGTCATCCATATATCTAATTTGTAATTAAAATCTTTAATACTTTTAGGTGGGATTCTAGTGCACTAGTTGATTTGCCAGAATATATGCAAGCTCTTTATAGTGCTATCTTGAATCTTTACAATGAATTAGACGAAGAAATGAGCAAAGAAGGAAGATCTTATAGTGTCTCATTTACAAAGGATAAAGTAATCAACATTCTTTCTCTATTACTTTTGTCTTACAATTGTAGATTGTCTCTACTCAATTTTTATATATAGTTGCATTAGTTGGTGTTTATGTATTTATTTATTTTGTTAATAAACAGCTGAAGGAGCTTGCCAGGGCCTATCTGCTCGAGGCCCAGTGGTTCCATGAAGGATTCGTCCCATCATTCGTAGAACGTATGGAAAATGCATTGGTCACTGGTACTTGTTTTTACAGCATAGCAGCATTATTTGTGGGAATGGGAGAAATTGCAGGGTGTTAACCAAAATGTGAAAAAGGACAAAATATGAAGGTCCTTATTGTAATTGTCTAATGCTGTGACCACAACTCTAAACTGTGTCATTTTGGTTTTCACAGTTTCTTCTTGTATAAAATACTCACTATATGTTCTACTGTTTCAATTAAGAAATCAATTTGTGAGGAGTTCACGATTTCCAGAACTCTCTCCAGTTTTTACTTTCATCTGTTTCACTTGGTATCAAAGCCGACGACAAGCGTCAAATGGCTATGATTCCTCTAGATAATCAAACCAAAAACGTGAAGAAGAGTCTTCATGGCTCAGCTCATCCTCAGTTCTCAGTGTTTCCATCAAATCTGCAAATCGTTAGCCCCAAATTGACAAGAGATAGCTATACAGACAATTATAGGTTCTGGCGGTCTCAAGTTCTATTCGCGGCAGGAGCACATGAGCTTGAAGAACATTTGACAGGTTCAATTCCATGTCCTCCACCTTTTATTCTTACAGATCCTAAATGTTCAATTGAGCTAAGTGATAGAACATCAGCTGAAAACCTAGCTAGAGAAACAATAAATCCAGCTTATGTAGCTTGGAAAAGGACTGATAAACTACTTGTCACTTGGCTTTTGGCTTCAATTTTTGAAAATATGTTTTCCACTGTGTTGAAGTGTCAATTCTCTACTGAAGTTTGGTTTACACTCGAGAACCTAGTTAGTAAATACGGGTATGGCAAAAAAAGGGTATGGGAATTTTATGGGTATAATACGGCAAACGGTGAAAAATACGTTTATAAAAATTCGACCATAAAATTCGGATACGGAAAAAATACGATACGGGTAGATACGGGTTTAATATGGTGCATTGCCAAAAATACGTTTTGAAAAATACGGCAATATCAATCTTAGTTTTAACACTTTTATGGACTACCTGGTTAAAATCAACATAACATTTCAAATGCAAAGTATTCAATTAACCAATAACACAAATACACAATATATAACTGATATTCAAGTTATAGTCTCCAGACTCAAACACAATATTTAGCCAAGATTCAATTATAGTGTCAAATTAAACACATAAGTCATAACAAAATCAAAATTCAAAGTCGAATAAGAGCTCCAAACAAATAAAATACACAAATAATACAACAAAGATTCAAATTATAGTTTGTAACAAAAACTCACAAAGTACATAAACAACAATAAGTCAATAACAACTCAAAAAGGAGCATCGTCCAACCAAGCAATGTCATCATTATCCATAGTCATCCATGTAACCCTCAATGTTGGTGTGGAATTAGCATCTTCGTCCATATGAATTTCTTCATATTCATAGTCTGGAAGCTCTCCCAATTTCTCAAGATCTATAGTGTCTGTATCAAATTTTCAGATTAACAGCAAAATTTTGCAGTAGTATACTAGTATCAGAAACGTTAATAAGGTAAAAGTATGATTCAATTGTCTTACAACCATCTAATCATCTTAATTTCTCTACTTGAATGATTATGAGGCAGACCCACTCGATGTTTGGTATTGATATATTCTTGCTTTTCTAGCCATATAACCATATCCACTACATGAAGTTTGAAACAACACACTTCAATATTCCTATTATTATTTACTAAAAATAAAAACTAAAATTTTGATTCTTCTATTCTCTCAAAACAAGGCTGCGAAAATGAAATCAATAAACAATGTGAAACTCAGTGTGTGTATTAAACTTAAACCAGGCACTTCAATAAAGTGAATGAAATATTTTTCTCTAAATTTTATTACTTGGTTCAGTAACATCTTTCTTGATTGCGCACTTGTTCTCCATGGTTCAGTAACATATTTTTCTTCCTTCAGGATAGACCAATATCTTGTCTACATTTCTTACCTAAGGAATTAACTTATAAAATGCACAGGAAAAATACCCAATAATCTTTGGAAGATCCCCAACAAAGGAATCACTCAAATAGTGCAGAATTCATGACAAAAACCAATACACAAAACAAAACCTCTCACAACTGATGGTTACTTACTAACAGAGCAAAACAGAGAAGACAAAATCCCAAAGACTTGTATTATGAATTCAGAATCATACAAAGAAAGCTAACGCTAACATTCCATACCATCATTATTTCCAACAAGCAAGTGTGGAAACAGTGGAATATGCAGGATATAAGCAAATCATCAAATGGCAAAACATATCATACTAGAAAAATCAATACCCAAAAAAGGTTAACTACCCAGTAAAGGAAACAATCCAAATAGAAAAAGTTCAGTTAGAAAATAACAGAAATATCAAACACCAATACTCCTCAACAAGAAGAACCATGTTTCAAACAAATCCAGCAATCCATTACCATAACAAATCCATCAATCCACCAAAGAGAAGAGAACAAGTGTTAAGTGTGTACCTTGAAGTCCCGAACTTGAAGTTGAAGCTTGGAAAGAGAACAAGAGATGAAGAAAAGCTGAAAACGTGAAGATTTGAGGAAGAAAAGCTGAAGAAGAACTGAACTAAGGAAGAAGAAGTGAAGATCTGAAGAAGAACCGAAGAAGAGAGATCTGCTTTAATTTTTAGTAAAAACCCACCAAAACGACGTCGTTTTGGGGGTGTGATATTATGTTTTTTTTTTTTTTCAAAAATTCACGAATAATTCGCGAATTATACGAGAATTATACGGTAACCCTTATTATATGAGAATTATATGACAGATTTTACAAAATATGGATACGCACATTTTATACGCGAATTATACGACTTTCCGTATAATTCGCGTATAATACGCGTTTTTACTAACTAGGCTTGAGAATGAGTTTTTAATTGACTCCAAAGCCAAAGCCTTACATTTAAAAAGTCTGCTTCAATCAACTCAAAAAGGAAATCTCAGTGTCAGTGAGTTTGTTAAAAAGATGAAAAGTATTGCTAAAAATTTGTCTACAAGTGGTCAAGTGATTACCGATGAAGAGATCCTTCAGTATGTGTTGGATGGGTTAGGTCCAGAATTTGATGCTGTGGTTGTCAACCTAACTTTTATAATCGAATCCAAATTTGATTCTATCACCTTACAGGAAGCTCAGTTTCTACTTCAGAAATATGAAATGAGGCTTGAAAAGTTTAATTATGTAGATTTTCATAGAGGCTCAGTCAACATAGCTTCTCTCAACAATGCACAAAGTCAGTCTTCTCTGACCACCACAAACAAGATGCCTACAACACATGCTGGTTTGACTACTATGTCTACAACATCTGATGGATTGCCTAATGTGTCACTTTCTTTGCCTGCTTCGTTGCCGGGACCTCAGTTTTATATCTTGTGCATGCTGGCTCCGTTTATCAAGGTAGTCAGATCTGTTCATTAGATACTGGTCCTATATATGGACAGCTTGTTTCCTATCCTTTCATACCTTCAGGTTATAACTCTGGTGGTAAAGGCAGAGGAAGATCTAGTGGTCGAGGGAGGCCAATCTGTCAAGTTTGTAATAAGGTTGGTCATACGGCTATACAATGCTACCATCACTACAACTCCTTTTACAATGGGACTCCACCACAGTTTGGAACTTCCCCACAGTTTGGCATGTCCAACCCTGTTAATTCTGGATATAACAGTCATCCAACTTCACAGCAGTCCCATTTTATTCAATAGCAACCTCTTGTTCCCACTATTAATTCCTATGTTACACAGCCACAGCCTGGTTATATCTCTTATGGATCACAGACTCAACCAGCCAACACTATTGATTATTAGGATCAACAGTATTATAATGACTCACAGAAAAGGCCTTCTTTCACTCATTCTCAACAAGGGTTTCATGTTCCCAGCCAATAGCCGCAAAATCTACCTCATACACCAAACCAAGCTTACTTTGTGTCCAACCATGTTCCATCCCCTAGTCAATCCTGTAGTGCACAAGTCATACCCACTTCCAATGCTCCTATTGACCCAGCCTGGTACATGAATTCTGGAGCAACTGACTATGTAATCTCTTATCCCAATCAGTTAACTATCAGCAGAAATTATGATGGAGTTGAGCAACTACAAGTAGGCAACGATGAGTCCTTACACATTACCCATATTGGTTCTACTTTTCTGCCAAATTCTTTACATTCTAAATGTCTACATCTAAAAAATGTGTTGTGTGTTCCTAGGATCACTAAAAACCTTCTTAGCATATCTAAGTTCACTAAAGATAACCATGTTGTTGTTGAATTTGACTAGGATTGTTGCATTGTTAAGGACAAGGCTACCAGGGCAATACTATTGCAGGGAGGACTTAAGTTTGGCTTATATCAGTTACATATTCCATCTAGATTTCTTTCCTCTCATTCACCTGCTATGTTTGACATTCTGGTCCTTGTGTTCCTCAGTCGTTTGTTACTTCAGTTAGTCAGTCCAGTCCCAATAAATGTACTGAAAAAGATATGAGTTACTCTTGTTATACTAGCAATAAGATGGCAGGCTCTGAAATCCACCCTAATGATTGTAACACTGTCCTGCATACTTGTAATTCTTTTCCTGTTAATAAAACACAAAACTTGAATGGTTTTACTTCTTTAATTTCTCCCACTATTTTGCATAATCCTGGTGATGATTTCTCTATTACTGTATTGCATAATTATAACACTGATATTTCTCATACCTCATCACATTTAGGCACCAAAGCACTTTCTAATGACAATAACAACCTATCACATAGTTCACCTACTATTTTTCATGTTAATAATACCAAAACACATATGCTATCTCTTTGGCATAATAGGTTAGGACATCCTCAATCAGATGTGTTACACAATATTCTGTCATCTATGGATAAACAACTTTCAGGATCAGCTTCTGCCTTAGGATCAGCTTCTGCCTTGCCTTTCTGTGATGCCTGTAGTTTAGGCAAGTTGCATAGAAATCACTTTCCCTTGTCTCAATCTAGAGCCACACATCCACTTGAGTTAGTTCATAGTGATGTGTGGGGACCAGCCCCACTTACCTCACTAGAAGGGTTCAAATACTTGGCTATTTCCCTTAATTACAAAAGCTGAAG